TCATATTCCTTCTTTTCTATCCCACCTTTTTCATCCCTCTTTCCTCTCCTTTCTCTCCTCTTACTACTTCCCTTTTTGTTTCTTTTTCTCTCGTTACCCCTTCTTCTCTTCTATTACATTCCCCTCCTACCCCTCCTTTTCCACCCCCCTTTCACTTCTCCTCTTTTTTACCCCTCTTCCTCCTCCTCTCGCGTCCCCTCCTTTTCTACTCCTCATCCCACACCCCTCCTCTCCCCCCTCTTCCCACTTATAACCCTTCTCTTTCCAATACCCATTTCCAACCCTCCTATCTCCTACCTCCTATCTCTCTCATCTCTCATCTCCCACTCATCATACCCACCTACCTCCCCACTATCTCACCCGCCGACCCAACAAACCCCAAATTACCCCTCTTCTCAAATCTCCACTCTTTCACACACCTACACACCTACTCCCCTATCTTTCTATTCCTTTTCTTTCTGACCTTGTTGAGGAAAACGTGAGAGCGCGGCGGCGGCGGCGGGGCGGCTGGCGGCGGCGTCGGGGCGGCGCGGGGCGGCGCGGCGGCGGCGGGGCGGCGCGGCGGCGGCGGCGGCGGCGGGGCGGCGGCGGGGCGGCGTGCGGCGCTGGGCGGCGGCGGCGGCGGCGGCGCGGCGGCTGCTCGGCGGGCGCGGCTGCGGCGGCGTCGGCGGCGGGCGGCGGGTGCGGCGGCGGCGGCGGGGGCGGGCTGCGGCGGCGGCTGCGGCGCTGCGGCGCGCGCGGCGGGCTGGCGGGCGGCGGCGGCGGCGGCCGCGCGCGGCGCCCGACATCCGGGGCCAGAAGCATGAAAGCAGGATCTTGGAAGCAGCCATTGAAGCGGATGGGCCCGAGTGCCGGGCAGAGGCCCCGAGAGGGAGTGAACAGAAGAACAAAGAACACTCACAAGAAGAAGAACAAGAAGAAGAAGAAGAAGAAGAAAGAAGACGAAGAGAAGTCGAAAGATATAACAACAACAACAACAATAACAACAACAATAATAACAATAAGAATAACAACAATAATAATAACAATAATAATAATAATAATAACAACAATAACAACAATAATAATAACAACAACAATAACAAAATTATTTTAAATTAAATCAAATCATCTCAAATCATCTTTCTATATCTCTTATTCCTATTCCTCATTTCCCACCACCAATCCCCTTCTTCCCTCCACATCCCTTCTCCAGTTCATCGCTCGCAGCCCTCCTCTCAAATCTCTCACATCTCAAATTCCAATTCTCCATTCCTCTCAAGGCAATGTTCTAAAATTCTCTGTTCATCTTACTTATATAAATACATCCCGAATATATCTTTACACCACCTATCCAAGCTCTAATCCAGATAGATATCTCCGCAAAAGCAGAAAAACAAACAAACAAACAAACATACAAATATACAAACATACAAACTATACCCACACTCACACCCATCAATCCTCTCCCCCCTTTCTCTCTATCCTCTATCCTCTATCCCAACTCTTACAATACATACCCAAAACCCCAAAGAACTAACTAACTAACACACTCACCCACCCACTCACCGAGTAATCTCCAGAAATCTTAGAGATATTGGATTGTTTATATTAGATTAAATGGTTAAATAATTAGTATTTAGTATCTAATATTAAATATCAAATATCAAATATCAAATATCAAATATCAAATATCAAATATCAAATATCAAATATCAAATATCAAATATCAAATATCAAATATCAAATATCAAATATCAAATATCAAATATCAAATATCAAATATCAAACATCTAAATCTACATATAGTCTTAGCCTTCATTATTTATCTATTTAGAAATCGCAAAATATACGGACGAATGAATAAATGGATGGATAGATGGATGGATAGATGGATAAGTATATACCCATTCTAATCTCTTCATTTCCTCCTTCCCTCCTGCAATCTAATCTCTCTTTTCTTTCTTCATCCTCCCCATCTTCTCCCCCTCCCTATCCTCCCCATCTTCTCCATCCTTTCCTCCTCCCCCCTCCTCCCTCTCCTCTCCTCTCTCAGGTATACATACATACATACACACCACTTCCACGAATCAACTCACTATGTGTACTACGTACCCCACACCTGAACCCTCTGCAAATAACGAACTTTTTCTTTTCACTCCTATGATTCTAGTAGATAGTGATGTGGGGGGGGGGGGGGGTTGCGTTTACTATATTACATGATTTAAGTTTGGGGTTGAATTGGAAATGCAGGTGGGTTTATATGAATTTAAATTTGGATATAAAATTGACATTAAACCAATCACAAGTACATTTCCACAAGAGAGAAAACTTATAGGATTCAAGATATTGGGGTTTAAGTTTGAGTGTGAAATAGATGGAGAGCATAGGATGAGTGTGGGAATCGTAAGAAAGAGAAGGGATAGTGTAAGAAGTGAAGATAAGAGGGATTTGATGTTAGCGGTGGGTATGGAAGGTGATCTGATTATTCGGTGTCTTGATGTTTGAGGGTCATTTGGTTGGATTGTCTTTTGGTAGATGTGTGTGATACTTATCGCCCTTTTTGTTGTTGTAGAGAGAGGAGAGTGCAAAGGAGGAGAAGGAGGAGGAATATGGACAATTAAGGAGTAGTGAGGGGAAGAGAAGAGAAGAGAGTGGATCTGTGAAGTGATAACCAACGCTGTGATTTCATTTCTCATGATAAAATGAAATATTGGAAAGCAGTAAAGAAAAACCTTCTGAACAAGAAACATGATCGCAAATACTATATACTCATCTCCAAGAAGAATCCTGACTCCTAGTACCTAGTATCCGAAACAAGTATTTCATTCTTCCTAGTCAACGTAGGCATTGAGAGATGATAGATACAATTCTTTTTTGCCTGCTTTTCGCAGTTTATATTAGAGGGGAATAAAGACTAATATCATCTCTTCATTCTCTTGATACAATGGTATTTCGAAGCTAAAGGAAAGGGAACGTATTTCCTTTAGAGGAGAAAGATTAAGAGATATTGATATGCTTCCTAACAACCCTTCGATGGAACCACGTGTGAAATAGATGAATTTCTTTTGAATAAAATGAAATACTAGAACACTTTTCATTTCTTGATAAATTTAGCTGCTGAAACTGAAGGAACCATAACTGAACTGTTGATGAAGCACACTAGATATATTTTCTGGCAAAGCATACGATATAGTAGAGGGGAAGGTGTGGAGAAGGTAGTGGAGGAAATATGCAAATCATGCACCTCACACAGAGTTGGTGACAATAGGATGAAAGGAGACGCTAAGATAAGTAAGAAGATCTATTCAGAAATCCTTACACTGGAGGACATCTTTTTTCAAAAGAAAATAAATAGGTATTGATTGGGAACTTGTGTGTTTTGTTTTTCTGGATGAAATTGAGGTTGGACCTTGGGTGGTGGAACTTTGATGAATGACGACATAAATTTTATGTACTTGTTGATAAGGAGATCAATAGTTTTGATATCTTTTGGGGGGTAAGGGGAGGGTAGGATGGGGATGGGGATGGGGATGGGGATGGGATATCTGAAAGCCTTTGGATTTTTTGGTAGATCAAGACGTGAATGATTTGAGTTCAAGAAAGATGATAAGGTTAATGTGCTCTCCCTCACCACCTGTCCAATGGTACAAGAGAAGAACATTTTATCCATGTTTCAATCTTGGATATAGATTGGGATATGGATATTATAGATTAGCATTTGAAAATCCCTCAGGTGGTTTGGGCTTCACCGGCTTCAGTAGTTGAATTCGATTTTCGACGAGGGAAAAGTGGACGATGTTGAGATGTCACTCTTGCTCGAGTCTTGTATCGAGCCCACGTGCTCAGTCTTGTATCGAGTCCACGTGCTCTGAGCCGAGTTGGAAAGGAAAATAACTGATGACATTGTCATTTCATTCTTTTTGGATAGCTAGAATTGGATCTTTGAAAGCTCTAAACATTGCATTGAATAAGGTATCGCAAGCTTTGTACTCATTAGAGAGCAGGATGGTTAACATTGCTCTTCCTTTCGCCAAGTCGGATTTTGGATGTTGGGATAGGATACCTACTAGGTAGGTAGGTAGGATAGATGAAAAAACGTGATTTGGATTGTGTCAAATCTCAGCTCCAGAGTAAAATCCACTTCTGTGCGTTGGACGGTATGAATCGCACATCATAGCAAAGGAATGTGAAGGATCGAAGTCTCTGAGACCATAATCACATCCGACTTGGAAATTCCTCGAATAAGGTGTTTCCTTGGGCACATAAATATTACCTAATGACACTCGTAATATGCATTGAGACTAGGTGATTTGGTTGGTGGTAGATAGTAGATAGTAGATAGTAGATTGTCCGTTGTTTGTACTGCCTGTGCAGACGGTCTTGCCTTGCATTGATGTTGCTAATCCAAGTACAAGTGAGTACGTTCCTAGGTAGGTGTAGCGATGACATGGTTTTGTATGGAGAAGATTGCAAGACATGGGATTGGGAGAAACGCTTGTATCCGACTGGTCTGGTGTGGAGGGTATACCTCCGTAAAGTGTTTAAAGAGAGAACCGAGGGAGAGGTACAAGTAGGGAGATGGAATGATTGGGAGAGCAAAGGGAGAGCAAAGGGAGAGCAAAGGGAGAGCAAAAGGAGAGCAAAATGAGTGAAAAGCCCTTATTTGGTGTATATTATGTCGATTTGTTGTTGTTGTTGTTATTGCTGTTGTTTGTTGTCGTTGATGTTATTTGACAATGAAGTTATTGATCCTAAATTGTGTCGAATTTGGATGATCAGGTTGGGCTGTCAAGTGGTCACGTCAAGTTGGTTCTTAAAGTTTACCGTAGTGAGGGTGAAGTGATACATAGCAAAAGCTTATTAATACGACGGATTGGGCTGTGATGACTAATACTACCGCCCGTACTCAAGTTGACCATGCCTACTTGGTAGAGGTGTACTAGACGGTACCGAATGATTGGATTCTCGTATCCTCTCTCCGTCCCTACACCTAAAAACGTCTAGAAGACCAAGACAACCGACGACAAGGTGACAAGGTGACAAGGTTATGATTCTAGAACTTGTTCAGCCTTCCATCTTCCATCTTCCAACAATCATAACTCTCGTAAAAGGAAAGAGGAAAGAGGAAAGAGGGAAAAGGGAAAAGGCAAAACAAAAGGCAAAATCGACAATATCAGCCTAAGGTTGGAATGAAGAAAGTCCTTCTCTTCTTCACACACACGACGCCATAATTCTTACCAATTGAATTCTCTCTTAAAATCCCCCCAGTCAACGAGCCAGCCAGCCAGCCCAAAGGAAAATCCCCAAAAAACAACAACAACAAAACTTCTCTCTCGAAACTTTCAACGCCCGCCAGATCATCCATTCATTTTCCCAATCACCAAAATTTCTCAAAATCATCCAAGCTAAAGCATTGCATGCGCGCTTCCACCAATCATTCATTCAATTGAATTGGAGATCCAATCCCCTCTTCCATAGAGCCAAGGTATCTGCCCCCGCTATCAGAACCTAGCTTGTCATTATAGGAAAAAGCGTGGAAGGGTCCAACTCCATTTTTCCCACTCCTCTTACCGTTCCGTGGCGATTACTGCGACTGTGGTCTCACGCTTGTAGCACTTCTATCCATTCACATACTGATATCCATTTCCCCTGCTTCTTACACAAATAACTCCTCCGTACCAGTCAACTACCTACCGGTTGCATTCAAACTTCTGCTGCTTTCCGACCCACACCTTCTGAAAGACCCTATCATACCAAAAGCGGATACAAGATCTCTTCCGGTAGGCAGTTCGACAATAATGTCAATCAAGTAAGTAAATAGTCGTCTCTTATGGTTTCTGTAGTGCAGTATTTGATTGCCGTCACTTTCTTCTTTGCTCTCTTCATTCTCAATTCTATCTTCTCTTTCTTTTTCTTGTCTGTTTTGCCTTCATTTTCTCAATCATGTATGCTTTTCACCAAGAACAGCATCTTTATGCCTTGCATATGGCACAAGAAGAAATGCTAAAATCTACCCGTGAAAAAAGTTGGGTAATGACCTCTCACGAGGCTGGATTCGTCAAACTTCCCAATGAACGAATTCTTTATACTTCACCCCCTCGAACGAGTTTACAAATTTCTACGACGACTACACCTCCTGGCGCAGAGCCATATTCAGCCAAAAGTGACGCTGGGGTTGTTTATATCAGTAACCAACGAGTAGGTGCATCTATTCTGCTTTTCGCATGTTGGGGACTATTTACTGATTCCCATGAAGATAATTTATCTTCCAAGTACACCTACCCCCGAACTTCAATCATTTTCCTCGCCAATTCTCAACTTGCAAGATAGTTATGTTCGTGCGCCATTCTTCGGCGCCAATTACTGGACTGCTCTCTGCAAGCCGGTCTCGGGAGGTGGAATTCCTCCAGACTATCCATCGGTTGAGCTCAAGATGACATTCAGAGAAGGCGGGGCTTTCGATTTTCATTCTTGCTTGGAGCAAATAAAGGACCGTCTATACCAAGTTTATAGTGTCGCACGCGAACATGGGGGAAGGGGAACGAGTGGAGTAGATTTGGCGAACATGGATTTAGAGCAATTACCTGCCTATGAAGCTGCGACAGAGGTTGCAGATGAGGCACCTGAGGTAGCTCGAGATAGCGGGGTAGCAAGCACAACTGGAAGTTCACGGCCCGAGACCTTCACCGCGCCAGCTGAGCCCCCTCCAGATTATGAAGAAGCACAAGCACAAGCCGTTTCGGTGGACCTGGATCAGCGATTACGAGAGCAGGCCGAGAGACAATGAGAGGGGGTAAGCGACATATATAGAATGCTGTGTTACATTTGTTTTGTTACATCGGGTGTTACGAAGTCATGAATAAATGAATACTGGGAAGGTAGGACATCTATGGAGGGGGGAAAGGCGTTCTTCTATCACAAATTTGCACATACGATTTGGCACGGTCTATGATCAGAAATGGGGCTATAAAGCAGCACTGCAATGGCGTTTTGAGAGGTTGATGGTAAATTGCTTCAAGATGGAATTGATGTCTAAAATAGTCTGAAATAGCTAGTATATCATGAGAAATGAATAAAAAATTGAAAAATGGTACCAATTAGCAATCGCGTTGTATGTTTTGTAACTTATTCATCGACCTGTGTACTTCACACAATTAATCAATCAATGATATGAGATTTTGCACTGATGATAAATTTCGAGTTGATGTCGGAAAAACCAGGAACCAAATTTCATCGACCAATCAAATCCGACCAATTGCAACTGAGGCCTCAATTTTGGCGAGGATCATTTCTCATCCGACACGCTGGATTTTGACCCGTATCAGATAGTATTCTACCACCAAGACCACAACACACTCAACGTTCTACAATTGGTTTGAATCCCCGAAATCGATTGTAAAGATGGGTTTCTTCGACAGCTGGAGCGATCTTGTATCGGCTGCTACACCATGGAGTCAGGCAGAGGCTGAGGCCGTTTCTGGAGGTTCGAGTACGGAGAAGACTCCTGCGCAAAAGGATGACGGTGGAGAGGGTGAGGCAAAGGTACGTTTGGTTTCGGCCTTTGATTTTGAGTCTGCCGGAGAATTTGTTAGAGATTTGGATGTGGAGTTGGGGATGAGGCGGGAAAGAGGAAAAGGCAAATGGAAGGAGGGGGACAACATACTTTTTTGATGTGTGCGGGGGTTTCGGATTTTACTGGCTGGATGGGGAAGACCTGGAAATCGTCATTTATACTTGGACTGGACATGTGCTGACTCAAGATTGTGTACAGGATCCATCCGGAGCCACTCCAGACAAGAGAGCAGCCAAGGACGCTGAAGAGGAAGAGTCAAAGGATGAGGAGCCTGAAGAGGAAGAGGAAGAGGAAGAAGAGGAAGAAGAAGAGATGGTTGATCCAAAAGATAAGATTGAAGAGGGTAGGTTTCTATATTTATATGTTGGTCTAGATTTTGGGTAGAGAAGGGAAATTTTAACAACTGCATTTCATGCGGAGAGCTTGGGATTTCCTGAAACTGCTTCAGGTCTACAGTCACTTTATTGTGGGAATAGAAGCTAATTTTCAACAGAATGTAAGGAATCAGCAGCTTGTGCTCCTTCTAAGCACCACTACGACGAGTGTGTTGAGCGAGTTACAAGTGGCAAGGAACAAACCCCAGGCGAGGACTGTGTTGAAGAGTGTATGTACTCTACACTCCCATCCATCCCTAGCTACTAACACACAAACTACAGTCTTCCATCTCGCACACTGCGCCACTGCCTGCGCTGCCCCTAAGCTCTGGAACACTCTCAAGTAAATCCAAGCTCGACTACCTAGTACATCACGGAATTACGCACAAAACATGAATCAACTTTTTAGATGACGGAGAGGGAAGAAGGGAAGAAGTTAGAGGATGGCGGAATTGTACAAATATGAAACCAAAATCCGTTCTTGAGCACTGCATTGCATATCAGATCAGATCTCCATTTTTCACCGAACGCATTGCATGTAGTATAGAAAAGGAATCGTTATAGAACTGACTTTGGTTCTCTTTTATGTTTTATTCTTTGGATTCTGGAATTTGTGCTTGATTTTATACCTCCTAATCATGTTTGGATTTGGAATTCTTATCATTTCGGATCTTTTTCTTGGGTGACAAAGTAATTTTACAATCACAAGCAAAACTCATCGACAAAAATACCTGTACACATACTCAAATGCCTAGGTACTCTCTTCACCACTCTATCTCTCACGCGGGTTTTTTCTCAATTCGGGAAACAGATAGATATTCATACTTCGGCGCTTTGTATACATTCGGATAATGGATAATTGCATCCCGGTCTCGTCCCTGTTTTTGAATGTACCGTACCACGAGACCTTATCTTTTGGTCCATTCAGAGGGGGTGGAATGTTATGTGTACACTGTTTCTTACGTGCGAGCATGTGAGCTTGGATTGTATAGCCAATGATAATTGGATGTGACATGATGTATCAATATGGGTGATATGGATGTACACCATACACGAGTCGATATACCTGGGTGAGGGAGGAGATGGAGGGGATGGAGGGGGTGGAGGGTTGCATCCCCTCTTTGGCTATCTGGTTTGTGGGATAAGTAGATAGGGTTCCAGGTTTTCCAATCTTCTTTGACATGAAGGTTGTATACTGTTGCACGGCAAACTTGTACTTGTACTTGTAACTTCTTGTTCACGAAGTAGAATAGAAGAGGGAAATACTTCCTTCATCGAGCTTATTGATCGGCATCCCCTCTGTCTTAAAGTCCTACTCGTGCACCTGATACATCTCCACACCAGCGGAAGTCAAACATTCGGAAGATTGACTTAGATAACCGAATTCTAGCGGGCCCCGCCAAGCTTATCGTTGCGCGTACGCTGGGTTGATTGGAAGGAAGAAGGATGGAGGTGTCGACACAATTGAATTCGAATGGATTGGAAAAAAGTGTAGATGAGAAGACGGAGAGGATTAGCAATAGCGATACGGATAGAGACGAGAAAGTTTACAGCGACGAGGAAAAAGATCGGAAGATTGGATGTAAAGAAAATAGAGGAGATAGCGCGGATAGTATTGAGGAATATACAGGAGATTTGGAGAAGGGGAGAGAGAAAGAGAAAGAGAAAGATAGAGCGCCGGGAGTAAATAAAGAGGAGGATCTGGGAATTGGAGAAATTGGAACAATTGAGAAGGGGGAGAAGGAGAGGAATATCGAGAAGGAGACGCATCTTTACCACGGTATGCCGATAGGCTGGACGGCAATGAAAGATCCACGCGGAAAGCCGAAACAGAAGTCTAAATATAAGACGGGGGAGAGAACGAATGGGACGAGTACGCAGAGGGGTATGTCGAATACGGAGATAGCCAAAGGGCAGGAGAATGGGGGGGAGGGGAGAGGAGTAGAAGAAGAAGTTGAAGATATAGATGATTTGGATTTGACGGAATTGAATAGCGGGGATGAATTATTGCCGGATGAGGAGGAAGGGGGTGTAAGGAGGGGTGGAATTGGTGCGGATGGAGCTGCAGATGAGGGGCTGCGGAGAAGAAGTTCGGAGCGTCATGCTGTGGGTTCGAACGCGGGGAACTTTAGGGTGTATAAGAGGAGGTGGTTTGGATTGGTACAATTGGTTCTTTTGAACATTATTGTTAGTTGGGATGTAAGTGATGCTAGAGAATTTCATATTGTTTCGACTGCATTTTGACCAATTTCTGGGGAGATTCATGATTCTGTGTCTATCTAGTATTGTGGTTGCAGATGTGCTAATTGTGGATTCGTACAGTGGTTAACCTTCTCTGCGAGCTCGACGACGGTTTCGCAATATTACGATGTCTCCGAATCCGCGATTAATTGGCTCAGTACCGCTTTCCTCTTTGCATTCGTGCTGGCTAGTCCGTTTGTTATCTACGTGCTTCATCATGGAGGACCTAAACCTGCTATCGTCATTTCTTCCGTACTTTTGCTACTGGGGAATTGGATACGCTATGGGGCTACAAGATCGGGCCCGCATGGAAATTTTGGAGGAGTTATGTTTGGGCAGATCTTGACGGGAACCGCTCAACCATTTGTATTGGCAGCGCCGACGAGATATTCGGATTTGTGGTTTACGAATCAAGGGAGAGTGGCTGCGACGGCGGTAATGAGTTTGGCGAATCCTTTTGGAGGCGCGTTGGCGCAATTAATTGATCCATTTTGGGCGGGAAGTGTGGGGAGTATACCGAATATGGTGCTTTATATTGCTATTATTGTAAGTTTGTGCAGTCACCTTTGCTTCTACGATGCTAATCATCATATAGTCCACCATAGCGACCATCCCATCCTTCTTCATCCCCAAAGGACCACCAACGCCCTGTTCCGCATCCTCAGAAGAACCAAAACATGCCCTGGGCGCCTCCCTTCGCTTCCTCCTCCGCTCCCCTGAATTCTACATGATGATGTTCCCCTTTTGGTTCTACGTCGGCCTCTTCAACAGCATCTCCTCCCTCATCAACCAAATGCTCTCACCGTATTCCTTCTCCGAAACCGACGCCGGCATCGCGGGCGCCCTTCTCATCGTCGTCGGTCTCGTCGCTGCCGCCGTCACCTCCCCCCTCATCGACCGCACCAAATCCTATCTCCTCGCCATCAAAATCCAAATCCCCATTCTGGGAATCTGCTACCTGGCTTTTACGTGGGCGCCCCAGACTCGCAGTCTCGCGGCCATCTATACCATTCTGTCGCTTCTGGGCGCGGCAAGTTTTAGCTTGGTGCCCGTGGCCCTGGAATATTTAATCGAGATCACGCATCCGGTTTCGCCCGAGGTGACGAGCACGATTGGTTGGTCGGGGGGGCAGTTGCTGGGGGGCATCTTTATTATTGTGAGTGATAGGTTGAGAGCGGGGGGTGTCTCGGATGGGTCCCAGGATGATGGGAGTGTGAGGCCGCCGGGGAATATGTATAATGCGTTGGTTTTGCAGGCGGTGTTGGCGTTGGTGGTGGTGCCGTTGCCGTTGGCGCTGGGGTGTTGTGGGAGGGGGAGGGGGGTGAGAATGAGGAGGGTAGAGGCGGATAAGGTGGCTAGTGGGAGGAGGAGAGGAGATACGGATGTGCATGTGGATGCAAATACGGGGACAGAGGGTGGGGAAGGTGTACTCACGTAGGGGTTTGGTGTATATGCTGGTTCATATTGTATTTTGTTTTCGAAAGGGAATAGAGGGGCTGGGAATAATATTTGGATACCAGTTCCAGATCCCAGCTTTTGTGTTTGGGTCTCTGGATTCATGGAAACACATCTATCCTTGGATAGGTAGCAAAGCCATAGATAGGAATCTATGTATTTGTATTTGGAAATCCCGAATACAGTGATCGAAATGAGAATTTCAAATTCACATTTCTTATATTCATATTCGGATTCGGATTCATTTTGAATTTCATTTCCAACCCTATATTTCTGGAAAATGATAGTGTATCTTACATCTTGACATGTTAATATTAATATAAATCTATAATCCCCCTAATCCTATTCACAATAAAGATTCCTGAGATAATCTTACATAACATACACGTGTGTGTATGAAGAGATCTTCATTTTCAACTCCTTCATATTTATTGGATTTCTATCTCGGAGTCGGAGTCTGAGGGGGAGAGAGGTTGTTGTATTTACATTTACATGTAAGATCTTATGTATCTTACATGGATCTATTTTTATAAATCTCAAACCTCAAACCCCCAACCCCCAACCCCCAACCCAGCGCTCGAGAAATCAAAACTCAAACCCACTGCTCCCAAAAGACACTGTGCTTCGCACAGGAAAGGATAGATATCCACTCGCTTCTCCTTCTACATCTCCTTCTCCTTCTCCTTCCGCATCTACCTACGACTCCGCAACTCCGCACCCTTGGCATCCGAACAATTCCACGCTGTGAACGCATGAAATCATAACGCCATATTCCATCAAATCCATACCTGCATCCAGCAAGCGTGGAAACTCACAGGAGACAGCTCTTTAACGCAACGAATGCTTGGGTAGGTATGGAATATCTACGGAGTGGAATGTATCTATGACATATCTAACTATACTGCTATGTTGCTATGTTGCTACATATACCCATGAAGATGTTTGAATACCTAGATAGGTAGGTAGGTTATGGAATTATTTATTGGAGGGGAGGATGTATGATATATGATACGATATGAGCGAGACAAAATCAAGAAGGAGAAAAAATAAGAAGAAGAAGAAGGAGAAGGGTGTTTAGAATATGTGGAGAGTGTTTAAGGGGGGTTGAGAATAGGAGATTATGATGCAATGCAATGCAATGCAATCCATGTATGTGACTTTAGTAGCTAGCTCATCGCATGCATGTATGTACGGGTATTGATCTGGTGCCCAAGCGATGTTGAAACTATCGATTAAGAGAATCCCAAACTGTTGAGAATGTTTAGAAAAAATACAAACGTAGAAAATTGGAAAGCTGTATCCGTATCCCTAAGGGAATGATCTCAATCAGAAGATGACGACAATTGTAGCAAAAAATAAGAGATACTAAAGATATCCAAAAGCAAACAAAAACATATTTTTAACGGGTATCTAACTTGAATCTCTCAAATGAAGGAATAAGCTATATATGGAAATTTCCAACTCTCTTTTTTGTCATTTCTTGCTACCCATATGCTCCTTGTGCAAAATGATCGACGAATATCTCGTCTTTGTACTCCTATAAATCAATTATTTTCCTTAGCAAAAGCTCCCATCAACCTCTCATTCGCCTAGCGCTTTGCTTCTTCTATTCCCTCCCTAAGCTTCAACCCTCTCTTGATATGCTTCCCAA